TTGGGTTTTCTGCCTCCACATGTCATCTGGTGCTGCAACCCAAGGTGCTTTCTCCTCACTCCTTTCCAAGAGCATCCAGAGACTGTTCGGACACTGTAGCAGTCCTGCATGTCAAACCAGCTGTGAATACCTGGCATTTTCTTTACTTATGAGTACATGGTTTTCAATTTTGATCAAAACTGACTGAATCAAGGGAGAGTTTTACTACTGACTTCTAAAGATATCTTTTTAGATATCTCTATCACCATCAGCCCAACTATCTCCACCTTAACCAATTTCAGATTGTTATAAGTTTTCTCCTTGCTTTTGGTTTCACTGCAATCACCTACAATATCCTCATCTTCATCTGCATTCTTAGAAACATTGTTATTTCCATCAGGGGCATCTGAGAACTCTTCACAAAATGCTTCAGTACCACAGTCTCTGATTGATGCTGTATGGTCTAGTTTTATTGGTTCAGCAATAACTGAGTTTGGTGCTTGATTTCTTGAATGCCAGTGTCTTCATCATTAGCAATGTTATCCTCTTTCTTCTCTACCTCTTCTGGAGTTTCCATGACTTCCTTCACTGCAGAGGAATTTAAGCTCTGATCATATTCATTTTCCAAGTCACTGCAGTCTTCGTTGATCAGCTGAGCTTCAGGAAGTACACTGTATTATATACCTCAGATTGTGGGCACTCAGTACCGCACTGATTTCCATCATATAGCTCTCCATCATATAAGTCACTATTTGACATTTATTTAAGCAATGACTTAAACACTGGATCTTCCCTCAGAGTCAGTGGAGAGCTTTCACTTGGGAGCAATAAATGGCTTGGGACCCCTACACATAGAATTTGGGTTATGAAGAATGTCAGTCCTTGGCAGTGAAGGAGAAAATTTGGAGACAACTACCGAAGAAAGGTGACCAGTAACTTCTGGTTTTGGTGCTCATGCTAGCTTTGTGATTTCTGGAGAAAAGAGAGAAAAGTCACGTTAGTCAACTTGATGTCTTATTAAAGCCACCAGTATATATTCTTTAAAGTCTGTTGTAGACTTTATCTTATACATTATATTTGTCTTTTATAAAGCTGAAGGAATCCAGCCAATAAAAGGCCTGTTCTGAAGAGAGAACTGCTACAGCAGTGAATATGTACTGTGCTTCCATGTGGCACTTCAGCTATTCCAGGGAATGTGGTGCTCATGGACTGGGTTAGGTTGAGGTTGGACTTGATGATCTCTGAGGTCTTTTCCAAGCTGAGCAATATTATGATTCTGTGATTCTATGGTTTAGAGTCATCATGAAACAAAGCAGCCCCAGCACAGCTGGAGAGGAAAAGGTGTACAGCTGCAGAGCCAAAGGTGTGTCACACAAGTTGAGTAGCTTGGATGCTTTCCTGTGCAACCTGCTCTAGGCAGCCTGCTTTAGCAGAGGGGTTGGACTAGATTATCTCCAGAAGTCCTACCCACCCTCTATGATTCTGTGATTCTATATACTACAAGACAGGAAGTCATTCTTACTGATGAAACAGTCTCTTGAGAAAGAAACACCCAGTTAGACCCCTAAAGTCCTAAAGATGCAGGGAAATAATGAACTCTAAAAACTTTGTGTGAGAGGGAAAAAGGCTGTGCTTAAATGCTTGTTGTTCCAAACACTTTAAATAAAGCATTTTTCCAGTTTTGTTATTTAATCTTGAACATGAACAGTGATGTTCAGTGTATATTTCCTACAGAGAATGGCTTGGTTACAGTGGTCAGAATGTGGTTCCAAAGACAGGCGAGATGCCAAGGGATGGGGTAAGGAGAGCAGCTCATCAATGAATCAGGAGGCCCTGTTCAGTTCCTAGCACTGGCACAAAAGCCAAACAATGTAATGCTCCTAAAGCTGCTGAAAAGTGTTCTCTCTGAAAAAGTGGCCAGCCCCACTGGGATTTAATCCATGTTAAAACCTTAAGCTCAGAGCTCAGTCCAGCAAAAGGTGTTTAACTGTGAGGAAGATTTTATTCTGATCCAAACCAAAATTAGAAGTGTCAAGTTTCCTTCAGGAAGAGCAAAGCCTGCAAAGCCCAAGAATTCATAATATAGCTTATTTGGAGGTTTTTGCCATTATTCTGTATGGGCAGGATACAGCCTCAACAGTAGCTGTGAGAATGGACAGTTTCCACATGTGCCCACCTAAGGCAAGAAAAAATGAAAAGGACTACAGTTGAATAGATGTCATGCCATGGTTTTTCCTGTATCTACAAAGAGGCAGGCATTGCAAATTGTCAGCATGTCAGAAAAGAAAATGCATGCCCAAATCCATTGTCAGCTTTTACACTATCTTTCAGCATGGCCTGCAGACTGAGCCATGTCACAGACATGTTGTTGGAATGGACACACTGGATGAAATGTTCCCCAGCCTTACTGCTATCATGCAGGACATCAGTCAGGTGCTCTGCACCAGCCTGCACAGCCCAGCAGCTCAGGCTCCTTCTACACCATGCTCTCCTGGAGAGCTGATTTGTGGTTTCTGACAGGCATGACCTTCTGATCCAACTAGACTAATCCAGTGCAGAGAACAAAAACACTGTGAGTGTATCTCCTGAACAACAAAGAGAATTTCTTTGTTTAGCTCTATAAGCAGGTGGGTGCCACCAAGAAAGGGCAGTTGCCTTTAGGGCAGACACAACAGATCATCTCTTTTGCTTCAGACTTCAATACTGTGGTTCTTCTTTAAAGATTTGCTCCCTCTACCACATTTCCTTTTTTATTTTCCTCAGGATGTTCCTTCTATTTGAGAGCATATAATCTTGGTCTCTTTAGAGGGTTCAAGTTAGTAAGAACCATTCTCCCAAAGGAGTGCAGGAACTGCTGCGTCACTCAGCCTTTTGTAACCATCAGTTTTCTTCTAGAGCAACATGCTCAACAGCCTGTTTTTAGAAGGAAACAATTCTGAACAGAGGTTAAAAAGAATAGACATCAGTCACTTCCTTCTTCAAGAAAGCAGGAGTAAAAGGAGAAGAGATTTTATGTTTTGCAAGCATTTCTTATAGTTTCCTGGAGCATCTGCACTTTAACTTTACATCTCTATGATGCTTCTACTGATCTCCAGAGGTTTTAATGAATTCTCCTCATGTTCTTTTGTATGAGTGAAAATCCTTACAGTAATGCAGTGCTTTCCTGTTTTACACAGATGCTGTGGGACCTGACAAAAGTCAGATAGCGATTCAACCCACCAACATCCAGCCTAAGTCTACAGTCTCACCTGTTTCTTCCTGTCATCACCCCTGGAGATCTAGTTATATCATAAGAATAGGATCCTCCAAGACTTAGCTGGACAGTTGTATTTCTCCCCTCCATGTTTATTCTTGGTTTTAGCCTTCCTCTTTGCATGCGGGGAGATAAGTATACTAGGAGACCTTACAAACCATCATGATCAATGGTAATCTTTGACATTTAAGTCAAATCTGTAATAATATCAGTTACAAAGCATTTTGTCTGTTTTCTTCAGGTCATGGCACTCATTTTCCACCTAGTCACACATTTTGGCTGTAGCCAGTCTCCCTCCTTGGGTAGGTCAACATCTACACACCCTCCAAGCCTTTTCCATCAGCCTTCTTGTAGGAAAGAAGAAAGTGGGAACTGATGGGGGGAAGCAGCAGCTCCCTAACAGAACATCCTAAAAGTACGAAGCCAGAGGGATTGCATGAATGTAGAACTATGCAGCACCAATAAATACAAATTAAACTCATAACAAGAAGTGAAATATTAGGGCCAAGGTGACATTTGGACTGGAGGTTCAGCCAAGCTTTGCTTTAAATATTTTATTGCTGCAGATAAAGAAAGAGCTTATCCAACACGTTTCTCTCTCTTTCGCTTGCTCTCTTTTTCTCTCCCTATGAACCAAAGGGGAAAAAAAAAAAAAAAAGAAAAAAAAAGTATCTTAACTAGCTTTGGTTGTATTTGAGCTACACTTCAAAGTTTCACAAAAATAAACAGTTTTAAGGGGGAGGAATGCACACTTGTAAAGAGAAAAAATGCACTTTGAAGCCAGCAAGGGACTGCGTGCTCTACGCAGAGATTCACAGCATCCTGCCTGGAGCAGACAAGCAGTGTCCCCCTCCCCTCTGAGGAGCCTCTCCTCCCTTCAAATGGGGCTGCCTGGCAGCAATGGGTCTTTTGAAGGAAAGTCAGGATAGCAGGAGCCAGTGCTTTGTTCTCTTCTCCTTCCCCCTGCTATGCTCCTGTTGTTTTCTGCTCTGATTGAAAGTTTCATGTGCCGGTAGCTGTCACTGAGATCTGAGTCTGCACAGCACCTAGCACAGCATCAGTCCTGGATTAGGATGTGGGCTCTTTGGGGTTGACTGCAGCAATGCCAATAATCTACATGATTAGAGGTGGGCTCTGAAACTTGAGAAATGTGGAGAAGGGTTTGTTTGCCCTGTGCAGAGTCACACAGGGACATGCAAAGCTTGAGGACAGAGCTCTCCTGGACATCATGGGGGGTCTGCACCAGTCCTGTCTTTAGAATGAGATGCTCCACTGCTGGGATCCTCAGCCTTTGGGTTTGTCTGTCTCACAGCACACATTTCTTAGGGAAAAGAAAGGTTCAGCTGAGGGCTCTGGGTGTGCTGGGCCCAGAGCAGAGGAGTTGAGGGGAGCCTGATGGCAGCTGCAGCTTCTCACAGGGAGCGGAGGGCAGCGCTGAGCTCTGCTCTGTGTGACAGCGACAGAGCCTGTGGGAATGGCATGGAGCTGCGCCGGGGGGGGGGGGGGGCGGGGGGTTAGGGAAAGGCTCTGCACCAGAGGGCGGGGGCATGGAAGAGGCTGCCCAGGGCAGTGGGCACGGCACTGAGCTGCTGGAGTTCAAGGGGTGTTTGTACATCACTATCAGATACATAGTTTGAATTTTGGTTGGTCTTGTGTGGAGGCAGGAATTGGACTCAATGATTCTTGGGGTCTGGTTCAAGTTGGGATATTCTCTGATTCTATTTCTCTGTTTTAATCCCTTATTTCCTTCTCTATTCTGTCTCCACAGCGCAGAGTCCCACTGCAGCAGACCCCTTGCAGCAAGCCTACGCTGGAGTGCAGCAGTACGCAGGTCGTTAGTATTAACACTTTCTCCCAGTAAACCTTTTTCTTCTCTAAATTCTGTAAACACAGCTAAGGGGGCTGTGGGAAGGGAGGTGGATCCTGAGGTGGGGACACCTGACAGATCTTCAGATTCAATTTGCAGTATCATGAAAACAAACCTAAGGACCCACAGCACTGGGGAATGGCTCCCAATGAGCTTTACCTTTGTGCAGCTTCACTGACAGAACTGGACCAGGCCTCCCTAGAACGTACAATGAGCAAGAGAAAAATCAGACCTCTTGGTTTGTGGCCACTTTGTGTTACAGAAGATCTGGGGGTCTCCTGAGTGCTGCAGTGAGCAGGGCAGATGGGCAAACAGACCCTGCCGAGCCACTGCAGCAGTGCCTGGCAGGGCACAGTCAGTGTATGTCTGCATACGCCTGTTTTGTAGGGTATGTGTGAACTCTGCTGGTTGTGCATGTGTGAGACACCCCAGCCCTGGCTAGTTCTGGTGTGGCTGGAGGTACAGATTCGAGGCTTGCCCTAGAAGCTGCGTATACTCCTGGTTTCCCAGCAGCTTCTCCATGACCTCCAATGGGCAGACCTCTCGCTCTCACGTCTCTGTGTATGCTGAGCAGCTCCTTTGCAGTTGATGGACTGACACCAGCCAAAGTGACCCGGTGCAGACCATGACCCTGCTGTGTTCAGCCTCCCCTTGTGAGGTGTCCATGGCCAACACTGCAAGGAAGCTGCCACCTCAAAGTCATTATTTCCTGTGGTAACTGGAGCAATCATGGGCTCCCGCTGAGGAATGGCTATTATTTCATGTCAGTGCTGTATCTGGAAACTTAATTTAATTCTCCATGTAGGGCTTCATTTGCCGGTATTTTAGTTATTGTCATTTATTGCTTGTGAGGTTTGATAGATGGGAAGCAGCTCAACCCTTTGAGCTGTTAATTAACCCCTCTGCACACACATGGCCCCTATCCCCCTCTCTCTGGGCTCACAGGCGACCCGTACTCTGTATTTTTAGCAGCAAGGCACATCATCTACCATCTGTGGTATTGAATGGCTCCCCTCGTCTGCTTGGTGGGGGAGCTGAGGTGGGGAAAATTGTTTAATTGCTGCACACTGTTTCCACTGTGTTTGTGTAGAAGACTAAGTGTCCATAGACGTGAAAGGAAATGTATATCTGAGAATGCATGCAGAAGTGTGCTTCTGTGCATATTCTGTATAGAGTTAGAGAGAGTGGGAATACATATGAACTGTTATTATAAGCATGTGTATAAATCAGAGTGCAAAAGAAAAACATGGACGTGGACATGTACTCTGCACATGCCTGTCAGCACAGGCATCAATACACTGAGCTCAAGAATGAGTGTTTTTCTTGTACTTCCTGGGATGGTTACCCACCTCTGGTGGGGGAGATCTCATGGATCTCCATTTAGACTGCCATTTAGATCACATGGCTGTTCCCAGTGCTTCTGCTACAAAGTTGAAAGGAGAATGGATGCTCAGAGATGAGTGCTACTATCTGAAGCACCACTGTGACACTTCTATTATATCTCAGACTATACAAGGCACCTAAAATACATGGGAAAGCCCGTCTCCAGCTTCTTGTGATTGTTTGATTTGAAAGTTTCTTGCTTCCCAGAACTGAAATCTATCCTTTTCTTCTCTCCCTTTCTTTTCTCTACAGCTGCTTATCCTGCTGCTTATGGCCAGATTAGCCAAGCGTTCCCACAGCCACCTCCCATGATACCACAGCAACAGAGAGAAGGTGAGTGAGTGGTCTGTTGTTTTCGCTGCACCCAGCATGCCATCCCCTCTACACTGGTTCCCCTCCTCATACACCTAGAGAGCATCCATTAAATGCCCCATTGCTTTGAATCCCTGGTCCACTGAGTCGTTTCTCAATTTCCATATGTGGCGTTACTGGCACACTGCAAACATCCTCATGGGAAATTTCTGCCAAGATCTCCTAAGATCCCAGGGAGAGGAGCATGCTGATGTGCAAGGGCCATGGAAAGGCCTGTTAGCAGTGTGGACAATAACCTCCAGTGGGGATTGTTAAAGACAGCCAACAAGAGTAATTGTACTGGAATAAAGAATTTAATGGGAAACAAATAATGGTGATCATTCATTAGAAGCCAGTAATGTAATTTCAGACACCTGCTATTAAGTGGAGCTGATTTAGTCCTTTCAGCCTCCCTGGAAACACAAATCAGCCCTTTTTAGAGAGTAATATCTGTATGAGGATGAGATTATTCATGTAGCAAAGATACCTGTTTCTTTACATTGACTACAAGAGGAGCCTGACTTATGTACATGGGACAGGATAGTTGCACTGGAGACAATGAAAGCATGGATAGATGAATCTCCCACTGTTGCATGTGATTGTTTTGGGAGGTATCTGCATCATGTAATGCAGAGCAACCAAAGACTTCCTTAAATAAAGAGAGGAGTCATTTATGTTTGCTTTACAGCCAGTAGGGAACAGTAGGAATCTCAGAGGCAACCTGCTCAGATAGCCCCAACCATCCTCCACACTCTCTTTGGACAAGAAGCTGCTTTCCTAAGTGAGGCATTTAAGTCTGATACTTCAGGTTTGTGTAGGGACCCTCATTTTAAATAATTATATTTCAACTTTTACTCCTTACTAGATCACTAATTCAGATATATTCTATGTGTGTTGTTATATATATAATTACATTTAATATTTTAATACAGTCAGAATAAAATGAATCAAGATTAGACTATCAAACTAAAACATCCTGATGGCCTAGAACTACTTTGGGGGAGAAATCTCATTTTGTGAGAAAATTAGAAATGTCAGCAATTCGATCTAATTTGGAATTAATTTTTTTCTGATGTCAGAATTTCCTGGGGAACACAACTTCCAGCTCCTGATTAGCTCTAGTACACATCCCTGCTGTGAGAACAGATGCACAGACCTAGCGTATCATTACTGAGATGTTTCCCCCATGCTGAAGGACTTTGGTTTTTATTACTTACCGGGGCTAGATTAAGCACAGGACAAAATGGAGAGCAGATCATTGCTTAACATAGCATTATGCCAGGAACAATCCAAAGCAAGGAATAACTGTTGTGCACACTCCGAGCACCATTGCCCAAAGATCCCAAAGTTCATACCACACGGTGTGTCTGTGGGTTGAGGGTGAGTATCACCCATTGGACAAGTTATCTCATAACTCTTTGCTCCTTTCCATAAGCATCTGATATTAAGAATGACTGGGGGCCAGGTATAGGAGAAGAACCACTGATTCAAGGTAGGCAGCCATTCCCAGTGTCCTCCATTTTCACGTAGTGCTTATCTGCTGTGGTTTTCTCTACTGTTTGCTAGAGGGAGAATCTCTAAGACACAACACTGCATTTTAGCAGTGAGTCAAGACCTTCAAACCTCTCTACCCTTTAACAGGAAGATGTAGCAAGAGGGAATTCTAATAATAACAATACTCAATGCTGAAAAGAGTGCTTCATGTTTGCAAGGATGTGCGCAAACATTGATTTATTAATGAACCTATCCTACCACAACAACAACATTGATGATCACATTGTTAATAATGATGCTAACTCTCAGCTCCTGAATCCTGGTTGGATAACAAGCCCAGACTGCTTGGCTGCTGCATAATTCCTGTAAAGATTAGTCATTGCTTCCACATGAGCGCTGAGGCTGTTGGCAGCTGATGGGTTGCACAGGATGGAACAGATCCAAAATTGCCAAAGGTAGAGACAAAGTCTTAACTCAGACCATGTCAACCAGGCAAAACTTGGGGGTAATTTCAAATTTGTATTGTATTACTCATCTTGACATAGTTTAGGAAACAAAGAAGTACACTTGGATACTAAAATAAAGTAGGGCAGGTTTATGACTCTTGCATTCACGTATGCTGAGGACTAAATAACAAGCAAAGAATAGGCAACAAGTTACAGCCTCAGAGTGTTCACTGATGAGGTGAGGTATATTCCCACTTACTGTGCATCCAGACAAAAGGCCACTTGCCAACTTTGTACATTCGTATGGGGACACCTCATTTTTAATTACTCATATTGACAGTTGACATCCAGAAATAGGTTGGGACACTGTTGTCCATCTTAAGTAACTTGCCGCAAGCTGGACAGTGATGAGCATGGGCAGAGCAATGACTTAGCAATTCAAATCTTACCAAGCCAAATCAACACAGACTCAGAACAGATCTCTCTTCCATATGTTCCAGTGATTCCAGGCACATAAGTTTCTGTTATACAGCATGGTTTGCCTGTCATATGCAAATCGTTCATAAACTGTGTGTTCCTTACAACTTTTATTTCTTTTTGTCTGAATCCAGACTATCTGTGCTTCCAGTGTATTAATGAGCAGAAATACCTATTACTTAAAGCAATAAAACTAGAAGCCGTGGTAGGTGTCAGGATAGAAATGAACCTTGATTCATAAAATGTTGCAATGGTTAGATTTTGAGGTGACTTACAGCCCTTTAGAAAACCAAAGTAAAGTGCTTAGTAAAGAATTTTAGTATTATATTCAGCCTTGAACTGCCAACTGTACCTATCCTCAGTGATCCATTAACTCAGTCCAGAATAAGACCTTTCTCTTGGCAGTTAAGTTTTCACTAAGATTTTGCCATACCAACAGTAATCTTGTTCCAATGATCTTGATCCCTTTAAAACTCTTTGCATAGAACTAACTTAGCGCTTCATAGCATTCTGAGTAGAACAATAAATGCATTCAGTCTTTCAAAAATATACACATATGCAGAAAGGGATGGCCACATGCATGATTATGTCATCTACTGTAGACTGACAGAACTAACTTGACTCAGGAATACGGGAAAAACAAGGTAGAGAGAGCTTGTTTTGTGAATTCTTTACCCAAGAGTCTAACTGTGATAGGTAACTTACGGATGGATGGGTTTAACAAGAAATTGGTTGTTAAATTCTAATGGCAGAATTTTCATATGTGAGGATGGTAAAACAAATCAAACTACCCCAGGTTGTTTCTCAGTAGCAGGTGGAGTTTTCAGCATTAAACTAGCAAAAATCCTCTGGAGCTGGGAATGGAGTGAGTTTGGCCTTGAATGTTTGAGTCAGAGTGGGAAGCCACAGCATGGGTTTCAAAGCCACACTTCAAAACAGAACTGGGCTTTGGTCTCTGCTTTCTCACATCCTTCCTGGCCTTTTTCTTTTGGTGTCCAAGCACTGTTAGACAAAGCTGACTTTAAGATGAGCTAAGTGCTGTTCTCTCCTTGAGTCCAGCCTCCAAACCTAGTGTGGATGAAGTTGTGTGCTTCTGATCCACCTCGTGCCTTAGTAGGTATTTCTCAGCGCGTGCAGGCAGAATCTCTCTACTCATGCACAACACAGCCAAGACCCCAGGAAATACAGCTGGCATTTTTGAAAGAATTTGCCAGTTTTACAGAGCAAACTGCTGGCTCTGGTGATGTCAGTGGGAATTTTGCCACTAATTGCAGTAAAGCCAAGATTTTACCCATTCCATAATAATGCAGATCTCAAATCCCACAGCAGAAGCGCTCTGGGGCACATTCAGATGAAGAAATGAAATTTTCCCTACTATTCTGGACCATGGTCTTCTCCTGGGCAGCATTTTCTCAGCTCTAACAGACACCTAAGGGTGTTGGTGTTTGTTTAACATTTTCAGACTGTTTCATATCTAGCTTATTGTGCCAGTAACTGCATTGTATGTAACTGAACTGCAGAAAGGACTGAAGAAAGGATAGTCACTCAGTGGGGATACTAAGGAAGAGGCAGACAGGAGCTGAGGGGAAGAATGAAAAGTTTGGCATGAAATAGGGGAGCCTGAGTGTGGGCCACTGAGTTTCAAAAGTAAATTAGTTATGCAGATGACTGGGTGACTAATTGGTTAATTATCCCACTGTACCAGTTTCCCCCCCACTTGGAAGAAACTCAGTCACCATCCCCATGACCTCTAGGAAATGCACGAGATGCAAAGGATCAGCTGTTCCTTCGTGACAGTCCTTTTAGCAAATTAGTGGGGAAAATTGTGCTTAGCAAATATTCATTAGGGCTTCATTTTCCATTAATCCAGAAGGAAATGTGGAGAGCCTGTGACTTCAATCATGCTGAGGCCCAGGAATTTTAATGAGCTTTAAATGGGCATCTGTCAGAATCCTGACTTCGCCTTACTTCTCCTGCCAGCCGGGGGGATGAATAATGGCTAATAAAAGGTGGGAGCATCTAGGCGAACTCCTCTCTCTAACAGGAAAGGCAAAGTTGTAATTTGCTGTGTTACAACACCATAATTATGCCCCAATGAAGAAAACAAGAGTACTAAAAAAACCTTTTCCTTCTCCACACTGTGCCCCAGCTTTAAATGGGGGAAAGTAGGCTCAGTTAGGTCACAGGGATGTAAGCACAGGAGCTGAGTGGAAGAAGGGCATCCCATTTTGCTCTTTCCTCCTACCCTCAAGGAGAATGCATTAATTCCCCTTCATTTGGACCCTGATGAGCAAACCAGAGCTGGAGTTACCTGTGGAGATCACTGTAGACCTGGGCAGCAGTTGGAAGTATCCCTGGAAATAATCTCCCCCACCCAAAAAGTCCTACCTCCTGAGACTCCACAGTTCTTTGCTGGTGACTTAAATGTTTAGGGTTTTTTTCCAACAAAACCACTTGTACACAAATGTGTAGTGTTGCACACTGTATGCAGTGATACAAATCATAGTGTAAGCCAGAGGCAGGTCCTACCTCAAAATGCAATCAAAACAGAACATTTTCCATGCCTTGACATAAACAAAAAGACATTCCACTGAAAGTCTTCTCTGGATATTTGTTACAGTAGTGAGAAGAAAAAAAAAAAAAAAGAAAAAAAAAAAAAGAAAGAAAAAAAGACAGTTCCTGTCCCAAAGTCTAGGATTTTGGATTTTAATCCATCTATCATCTCTTTTGAGGAACCCTGTGGAATGAGACCAAACTGTCTAGATTATGGGGAGTCTTTGGAGTTAGTCATACTGTGGGGACAGAATGCAGAGTTCTACAAAACAAAACAAGTCCAGGGTCTCTGTATTTTCCCTTCTACTGGTATCTCAGTCTTCACAGGAAACAAGAAAAATACTGAAACACTTGGGTGCAGTCCCAGAGAAGTAAAGGTTAGGGGGTGGTCACCCAAAACTCTACAGATTAAATGAAGTACAAAGAGAGCCAAGAACTGGATGTATTTTCTTTTTTTGTTCTTTTCCTCTACTTTATTTTTTCCATGGCCACGAGTGCTCCTGTATTCTTCTGATTCTGTGTTTTATTCTGGTGTTTGTGCTAGGAAGGTTAGCATAGACACATGGCGACTTTCTGAGTTCCTAGTCTTCTGCTTTCTTTGTTCCTCTTAAAGTGTCTTGAAGACCAACATGGGAGAATAAGGAAGGGTTCTTATGATAGATGTCACGTTGCTAGACATGGAGTTTTACGAAGAGCTTTCAGTCTGGAAAAGAGGAGGCTCAGGGAAGACCTTATTGCTCTCTATATCTACCTGAAGGGAACTGTAGCGAGCAGGGGGTCAGCCTCTTCTCTTGTGTAACTGGTGATAGGACTGGAGGGAATGGCTTCAAGCTGTGCCAGGGAAGATTTAGGCTGGGCGTCAGGAAATACTACTTTTCTGAAAGAGTGGCCAGGCAGTGGAACGGGCTGCCCAGGGAGCTGGTGGAGTCACCGACCCTGGAAGTGTTCAAGGAACATTTGGATTTTGTGTTGAGGGACATGGTTTAGTGAGAACTATTAGTGGATGGTTGGACTGGATGATCCTATAGGTCTTTTCCTTGGTGTTTCTGTGATTCTGTGAAGTGGTAACAATAAAAAGATGAGCCAGTAAAACTTAGAAAGCACATCCCACACCCACTGTTTCCCAGGTGAGACACACTGACGAGCCGTTTCTTCAAGACCCCTAAATGCAGGCCAGGCTCTGCAGACTGCTTACTGACAGGTATCCCTCACCAGTCAGAGAGAGGAGATACAGCAAAATAAATCCCACTGTGTGCTTTCTCAAATCCCACTTACTTCTATTCATGGTTCTTATTTTTTTCTTGACAGGACCAGAGGGCTGTAACCTGTTTATCTACCATCTGCCCCAGGAGTTTGGGGATGCTGAGCTGATGCAGATGTTCCTGCCTTTCGGTAATGTCATCTCCTCGAAAGTGTTTGTGGATCGGGCGACAAACCAAAGTAAATGCTTTGGTGGGTAAAGATAACAAAACAATTAGATTCATCCAGGAAAGGGCTTTCTCTGAATACTTTACCTTTCAACTGCTTTCTTTCTGCTTAAGCTTTTATGATTTCTCTCGATTTATTCCTGTCAATACTTTCCCCCTTCCCTCTTTCTCTCCTAATTGTCTCATGCTCAGAATTGTATGCGCTGCTTACATGAGGTGAAGGTTTGGCATCTCACCAGCAACTGGGTGCTGCAGTTGCTGGTGGTGGGGTGGAAAATATCTTGCCTCATAAGGGGAGCTGAGGAAGGTGCAGAAAAGACTAAAGCACCTGCAGCAGAATGGAGGAGGGCAGGGGGTTAGATGAAATGCTGATGGGGTCAGCAGTGGGAGCATGTGGCAGAAGGAGAATTTCTATATCTAAGACAAAGCAGGAACAGGTCATGAAGTCAAAGGGAAGACAGAGCTTGAGGAGCAGCTCTCCAGCAGGTGTGATACATTAAACTGCAAAGGGACAAAGGCTGAACAACATTAGTTGAATGCCTGTAGGAATGGCTGCTCAGTGAAATGCCAGCAACCATGCTCTGAACCCACCAGACCTGAGCCAGCGCTACAGCACATACAAACAGCCTGAGATCACCCTGCGCCTCAGCTGGGTTTGAATAAATACTGCGCTCACACAGCTCTGGGCATATGGCTGGCTCAGCTCCACCAGCTGGAGCATGAGTGGAACACAGCCTCAGCTGCATGTGGTTGGCCAGACAGGGACACCCCAGTCTGCACCCACAAGGTTGGATCAGCCTGCCAACAGCTGTGTGGTAACATGTTTCAGTGAGATTTCACTGTTTGCAAAAGTGTTACTATGGAAGGTCCTTTCAGGCAGTGCAGCAGCAGGCGGACCTTGCCACCCTGCCACGTGGCACTATCCCACTGGTGGACTGGGGATCTCTCCCATCCTCATGCTCACCAATGGGATGTGAAATTTCTTGTTCTGTGCCATCCAGTACTCCTTGCAATTCCATTAGAATTACAGTGGGACAAACTATTGCTTTTCTGTTCCTGTTACCTGCAGCTGATCTGGACTCTGTTTCTCAGGCAAACTTCCAGAGTTAAGACTTGTTGGAGTTTCATTTGAATTTAAAGTCACTTTCAATCTCCACACTGCGCTTTCCTTCTGTGCTACTTTCCCCACTCCCCTCCCAGATAGCCCACCTCCCAAAACTCCTACTTCATTTCTTGCTATGGTGCAAGACAGACAACACTTCCAAGAATTTTGTGCATCTTCTCTGTGCACAGTTTCTCATTGCCCTCTACAGAGGGTCAGACAAGGTTGCTCTTTGATTCTAGAAGTGTTTTTCCCTGGTGTGAGAAGACACAGTAATTCCCTTCAACATAGTCATGGGATTCCTGTACTCCCAAACACTGGAAGAAAAAAAAGATACTGGTTAGAAGAAGCAGTTGGAAAGTTTAGATGAGAAATTACAAATTATCTGTACTCACTCCAGAGCCCACCTTCTTTGTGGAGTTTTAATCATATAAAAGCTCATAACAAAATGAGCAGACCAGCACAGCTCTAGGTGACATTGAAAACTAGGGCTCCAAGGATATCAACAGGTTAGAAACAGACCTTTGGGAGTGAAATTGCTATTCCTATCATAAATAATATTTAGGAGAATACTGTGCTTAGCTCCTCTCATAACTGGCAAGGAGAAAGGCAAAACTAAACGGAGATGTGAGGTGAGAAACAGATTCACTACATCTTCTCTTATCTCAAAACTCTGGCTGCAAGGCTTCATGAGGATTATAACACATACCTAGCTTGTGGAGCAGTTGTGGGGCTGGCTTTATTGCCACTTTCGAGGTACTTTGAGGTTGTGGCTGAGCAGTGATCGGGGCATTTTAGCACAGTTTTTTCTTAAGCATGAGTCTTACTGGAAGAACCTAAACCACAACTTGTTTAACGCAGTAACATTTGATGCTGATGTTAGATTGTTCAAGCTTGAACACAGGAAGGTGCACTGTGGATGTACAGACTCAAGACCAAGCAAAAAGAGGAAATAGAGATTGCTAGTTGATTTTAGTCATCTTATATTAACTTCTGAGGCACAAACATTCAGGTTCAGTCAGTTTCCCAGATGTCCCAGGTGTCAAGACCCAATTTTCTCTGACTTTTGCTTGCTTTTTTTTTTTTTTTATAAAGATACTAACAGCCATGTACAGCACTTCCAGAAGGACAGAAATGGCAGAAGTGCAGGTAGCTAATTATCACAAGTATGTCACTCTGCTCTTCAAAACCTCCAACCCTGCTAACCTTCAAGTTTAGAGCAACATAAAACTGTGGAGGGTATTAGAGATAATTTCTCTTGCTAAGTCCATTGCAGTTGATGCTGGTTTTATTGTTCTGAAATCCTACCTTTTTAAAAAAGGAGAAATCATTTTTTCCAAAAGGATTTTTGTCAACTTTGAATGTAAGAAAACTCTTTCCTTTTTCTGCTTAAACATTTCCCAAAACTCAACATGTAAAAACATAGCATTTGCATTCTGTTTTACCTTTTTTAACAAGCCAGAGCTCTCCAACTGGTAGCCTGGGGGGACAATACTGTCGTCTGGCCCCAGAAAGATATTCCACCATTATATGACCTTTTAAAATGTATCTGCTATGCAGATCCCAAGTAAATTGCTCTAACAGAGTCTAGCCCCAGGTTGTAGAGAAATTGTCAAGAAGTCCTGCTTTTGACAAACTTAAAAAATTCCATGGAGAAAAATCTCACTTTTTTTTTTTTTTTTTCTCCCATGGAAAGAGAAAATTCTTCATTTTCTGTTCTTCTGTCACTGTTGAACTACTATTAAGTAGCCAACCCTAAGCAAGTGAGTCAGGAGAGCACCATCTCAAAAAGGAACTTTTATTCCTTCCTGTTTGTCTCTGAACCTGCACTTCCCCTGCACTTTCAGCACAAAGATGGAAGCATTATCTCCTTTAGCCACTGCTGGAAGGGCAGGGTTGGGGAAGACATAGAAGAAAATGAGACCAGTTACAAACCTTTCTCCCAGTTTCCCAGAGTCCAACATCCTGCAGAAACTCATTAATACCTGTGTGCACTAAAAAAAAACACGCCCTGCTCATAGAGCCTTTGACTTTCTGAGTTCAGTAGCAAACATTGTGAAATTCAGACTATGGCAAGAACTGATTTCATGCAAAAAAATGTGAAAGTGATCAAAATATATCTGTTGTTTACCATAGCAGGTCTGCTTGCTGCAGTATATGAGATTGCCTGAGAAACAAACCTGACTTCTCACTGAAAAACAGTCATTTAAAAAGGGAGGCTTTTTTGCCTAAGATTTTCCTCTTGCTGCATGCATCCAGTCTGGACCCAGATCCTCCCTTTTCTCCTACTGTTTTTCAGATCTCTGGCTCTTATTTTCCCCTCTATCCTGATGCAGCTGAAATGTGTCCAAATACACACCATGCTCCTCCCTTGCACTCATCACCACCCTCTCTATCCCCATGGCCTGAGCCTTCATCACACTGACCATATTAGCATCTCCTTGGGATTCCCCTCAGGCACTGCCTCATCCACCCTCTTGTATTCAAAATTATTGATTTCACTTTCACAGCCCTTCACCGTTCTGTCCTTCTCTCTCCTCTCCTGCTAGCTCTTCACTCAATGCTCAGCTGATATTTTTAGCCACTTTAACCACACACAATTGTTTTACCATCACTAGGCCATGCTATCCTTTCCCAGTAAAATGGCAGGGCCACCATAGGATTTGTTGTCTAACTTAAGAAAAAATTACACTTAATTTACCTTGCTTTCTGGACAGCAGTTCCCAGTCTCACAATAGACTGATCTGGGTTGTCTTGCACAGGGACATAATATGCCTGATCATCAACTTCTACAGGACCTGGGGCACTATTGTGTGTCTGTATAAGGCAGAGACTTCCCACTGCATGTGTGTAAGTTCTTCTGTATGTAAATATATAAATATCAGTATATTGATGTGCTGGTCACGATGGTTCTATGGAAAGCTTTCCTCTCAGATATGTAGATGATTTAATTGTGAGTGATTCGTTCGTAAGGAAAAAAAGAAAAATCAGGCAATATGATGCAATTAAAGCTATTAAAGTCAGCGTGAGAAGAGTCACTCTTCATGATGCCCATCCAAAGTTAACTGTCCCTCTGTGGTAAATATTCAGAATTTCAGGAGCAGTGTTGCTATACAGAATATTCTTCAAGAAGACATTTGAAGAACTAGTGAATGGCAAAGATAACCCTGTTCTAGGAAAATGTTTTAACAGAGAAGAGAAGGCAAAGGATAGGTTTGGGCAATATTAATTAAAAAGACATGACAAAAATGAGAAAAACGAGGAAGTGGATGGAGCAGCAGAGGCCAAATGATTACCCCGAGGTGTCACAGAAGATGTGGATAAATTAAAGCTAAAATTGTTATACTGGTGCACTTGAAATTCATTCCTTTGGTCACCTCTTCTTGAGAGCAGTGAGCACCTGATGCTCTGTCTCTTTGCATTTCATCAAGCATCAGACACTGTCAGAGTAACTCTGTTCCACATACCCCATAATACCCATAACGTGCAGCCTCTCACTCTGCCTGTGCCACATACCCTCTAGTGTGGCAACTTCAATTTCTCTTAAGAAGCCAATGACTCCAGAACGATGAGAATGATCTCCTTCATGTCCACAAGGACACTGTGGTTTCCCTCCTTCAATTCAGTGCAGTCTGACATCTCAGGTGTGAACAATCACATCCATTGGAAGTTTTTCACTTTTTCTACTCATGGATATTCACACGATGTTGGGATGCCCCATCTCTTTTTGAAAGTCCCCAGTTAAATGTAACAAGGGGCATTCTAGCTTTGTCTGCAAACTCTGATGGCTGCATAAAACCATAGGTTTATTTGGCCTAAAGAAAACATCATTTGATTCTTAGTATTATATGGATGTCAGGTTTCTTTCCAGATTCCTGCCAAGAGTCCACCAAAATGTTTCTAATGGGCCACCCAATTTGGAAAAAACCAT